TTATTGTTCTCATTTCACAAGTTGCAGGGTTCAAACAGACCTTAAGAAGAGTTTGAATTTGTTTTTTCCTTTGAAAGTCCTTGAATTTCACACTTTGTCCTTTAATTCAATGGTACAGCATGTATGGCTTAATTTTTCGAGACTTGCCATCTTAGCAAGTGTCTCACTGCTGCCAGCCTGGCACTCACCATGCAATGCCTTCCAGCTCTCACCACTATTTCCAAGTGCCATAAATACATGTATTATAGTACATTTTAATTAAATATGGTAAAAAAAAGCAAGGAATTCATCATGTTTCACATCTGTGTCATAAATGGAGATTAATTATAACTTTTATCATGATCAATTTCTCAAAAACTTAATGTTGAGTCATTTCAATTTGAAATGAATTTGCTCAGAAATTAAATGAAAAAACTCATTTCCACTGTTCAACAATAGCAATATTTGCTGTTGATCAATTTCTTCTTTTCTTGAAAATAATTTGCAAATATTTTCATGCTACAGTACACAGACAGTACATATTAGATATTGTAGTCTGAATGGGAGTGCTAGTGCACGAAACATGCTAGCCACTGCAATGTATCAGTCTCCTCTGCATGGAAACGAACGGCTTCCTGATCAGGACTGGACCATACCATAATCTAAAATATTAAATAAAAAATATTGATGATGTGAAAACTGTTACTGGTACTGGTAACTGTTATCGCGTTAATGCTGACTGGATATTAAAAATCTGTAAAACAATATGTTCATGCACCATGGATCAATTTTCTACGGTAGGTTCGAGGAAGCGACCGAACTGCCATACTATCGGCAATATGAGGAAGGCACTACCGCGTATTAGCCGAATACAAACGAAAGTTCCCATAAGTTAAATAACCATTACAATCACCACTAATTACGCATAAGATTCAGTCCTTTAATTCTGAAATCGTTTTTACTGAGTGAATCGGGTGACCTCATTTCCACGTAGGCCTACTATCGACGTTTTTACCCCAAAAGAACAACTAACAGTGTCTACGTACCTTGAAGGTCGAGCGTCAATATCCTGGCTTTCTATACGGATAACTGTTCTTGAAAAAGGCGTCAGGCGTCCAAGTTTCGCAGTAAATATTTGCCCGGACAAGTTTACATGTGCTTGGCAGCGTAGACCGCCCTCGTGATAGATGTCTGTATGTCGCAACTAATAGGCCAATGACAGCGCGCGTAATATCGAGAGCAGGGGGATTCCTCATGGGGAATTACCCATTCGTTTGAGACGGATACTACGATTGGCTGGCGTACTTTGTTAGTGAATGTGACCAAAATGTGATCATATTTACATGTCGCTCGATTAGTAAATGGTAGAAAAAATGATGTGGCTTTTTAAATAATTTTATTCTTGAAGTACATCGGACGATGACTGTAAATTCAAAATGGCGGCTCTTAAAATTCTTGTCGGTCCTTTGGACCGACTAAGTCCAATTTTTTACCGGTCCAGACAAATTTTGCCGGTCATGACCGATCGGACCGACAGTTTCAGCATGTCTGGATTTGCTCACTGGAAAGATTAGATAAAGGTTAGAACAAGGCATAAAATGTCCAGTATGTAGAAGAAGTCTCACTTTTTGCAATGTATGTTACTACTGTTGTTTGCCTATAATCAGATAACTTTGTGGAGTATTCAGGCTTTTAAGTTCCTATTTTGCTGCCTTAAGATATAACTCTTAACATAATTTTTCATTGACCCTGTTTATTTCCAATATACCTGTTAACTTACTAAAATACATCAAAGTAACCCACTTTATTTGCCTTACCTGTAAAATATTGGTATGAAAAGCCAAAATTAATAATTTCTAAAATTAATTAAGATATATCTCCATGAGTTGAAGATCAACATGCAAGCATAAACAGTTTTTGCTATTAATATTTAACATGAGGCTTGTCTTGTTTTTTTTCAGGGTACCAGTGACACAAGTGGTGCCCCCTACAACTAAGCCAGTGACAAGTTCAGTACCTTTGCCAACCAACTCCAGTGATGTCACAGACCACACAGAAATTGCAGCTGCTTCCACACCTAAAGAAAAGACAAACTATTCAGTAGTCATTGGTGTTCTTGTTGCAGTAGTAGGGGTAGTGGCTATAATAGCTGTGATGATAGGTAGTTGTTGTTTGTGAGTTTTAAAAGGCCAATTTTAAATCAAAATGGACCAACATATTCATTATTAGTCCAGGCTATCTCACCTAGTCATTTGAAGCTGGTCCCTGGTCTAAACCAGAAAATTTTTAAGATTCAAATTTGAGTCATCTTAGGGGCCATTCAGAAAAGAAGATGTGAGTATCAGCTGGTCCAAGGATCAAATATGGCTGACCGTATATGAAAGGAAGACTGCTTTATCCTGTAATGGTCTCTCCGCCTCTCACTCCCCTCCCCACACATTGTCCCTGCAGGGGCATAGTAATTCAATCTCTGCTCCATTTGACCAGACTATAAAGTATAATTGATTAAAAAGTTATTTTTCGTTGTCAAAAATCAGTCTTTTTAGATTGTTGGAGACCAAAGGAACATATTTTTAGATGCATTTTACTGTCCTATGAGCTGTAATGTGAAGAGATATGAAATTTTATATGAGATATTTATTAAAAATCTATTTTCATTTCAGTTATATGGAAAAGATCAGGAAACACATGCCATGTCACAATGTGTAATTGTGTTAAAGGTAAAAACCACAGTGGACACATTTTATTCACATAATTTAAAAGGATGCTTTACATTGAAAGCCACTGTTGTATATACAGTGCTTTATTTAGTTTTTAATCTTGAAATTGCATGACAGATTATTTACTTAAGATTTACAGACATGCTGAAATTGTCGGTCTGAACGGTCATGTCAGGGAAAATTTGTCTGGACCAGTGAAAAATTGGACTTGGTCGGTCCAAAGGACCAACAAGAATTTTAAGAACTGCAATTTTGAATATACAGTCATCATTCAACATACTTCACTAATCAAATTATTTAAAACACAAAGTGTTTCTTCCCTTCCATTTCAAACCTATCACATTCACAAACAAAGTAAGCTACCTATTCATACTGGTATTATCTGTCTCAAACAGATAGGGTGATTTTCGCTCCAACAAAAATCTATTTGGTCCGGCCATTCTGAAAAGTTTTTAGCATGTCTGGATTTAAATGAATTGTAAAGATCAAAATACTGCTTTTATGGTACAATAAAGAATCATTTGTTTCTCTTTCAGGAAACATTCAAAATAGCCATCAGTATGATCCTGTTAGTCGGTCCTCATCCGGGAATTACCAAAATGGCCACACCAGTGGCTTGGATAGGGAAATGTCTTTAATGGCTAACAGTGACCCAGAGAATGAAAGCAGTCTTACTGTAGTGAACGGTAAATAATCTTGCTAGATTTGGATTCATTAGCATTAAGTTTTCAAAATTGAGTAGACTGAATAACTGACTGACTGGATCCTTTTGATGTTTGTATTGTATGTGTCATCAATTAAAAATTCCAACAGTTGTAAGTGTTAGTCTTAAAGGTAACAAAAGCTCAATTTTATAGAAATTTCGGGTCTTTTTTTTAATGCCACCTCCATTGTTCCTTAAATTATGATCCTTAAAGATGCATACAAAGTCAATTTTTTGTCACAAAAACCAGCCAAATGCCAGCATATAGTTTCAAGTAGTATAACTAAGAGAATTGCCAAAAGGCATTGTTTAATTTTACCCGAAAATGATGTTTGAACGGATTTTTCTGCTGGCATTCTAAGCTGTATGTCAATGGGGCAGGAAAGTAGGTCACGAAAGTAGGTTAAATTTACAACCAAAAATTTAAAGAATGGAGCAGTCTAAAGGTCTTTTATGGCTGATCGAGTGATCTATTCAGTTTACCCCTTGGCATGTCGAATTTATTTGAGTCATATAAGAATCTAGTAGAAGTGGTTTACATGTGTTACTGGGAATCCACGCTCGGTGCGTATGTACCTTTAAACCAGTTTTTGACTTCCTTATTTCTTGTTTCTGGTCTTCAGAGAATGGCCAAAATGACCATGTCAATGGTTTGCCAAGGGAAGAGCAGTTACAGAATGGTGCTGTGGAAAGAGAGGGTGGTCAAATGCAAGGTATTGATTGATCGGGCCAATATTTTAG